AGGCTTACTCACATTTCTTAGAGGTACAGTCAAAGTTTTCTCTTTATAAAAGCTGGCGAAAAGCTGATATTTTCTGTTGTTACGGGGCGACCAGTGACCCTCAATTCTCTATTTTCCAATTTCCCATAATACACTCTGTTTGCCCCCCAAATTCTGCATAAACCATTGTTTTTAAATGCTCCTGGGAGTATTGCATTTTCCCAAGAGCATTTTAAGACAATAAGTTATGCAAAATTTGGGGGGCAAACAGAGTGTATTATGGGCAATTGGAAAATAGTCAATGCGAAAATATTCATGTTAGTCGAACGATAACATAAAACATGACGAAGGCTTGCGGCATTATTTCTTCGATTCTGCTTGGCTTCTGGCGACGTGCTTTTGTCGCCAAAAATTCCGAAGAGGAAAAACGAAGGAGTCGAATGTGAAGGTTTTAAAGAGCATAAAAAGATTAAAACAAGCTTGAGAAAAAGGATTGACCAGCCTGTTGGTGAAGCCCGATATGCTGATAGAAACATTTTGAAGCGTCGTGAGGTTGCCTGCGTGCAGACGTCTCCTATTTCCTTTGTTGCAGCGTGCAACAAAGGAAATAGGAGGCGTCTGCACGCAGGCAATCGTTAGGTAGTCTGCGTTTCTTTGAGCAATATTGTTGGCTATTGTATTCAACATGAAAACTACAGAATCCGTAGGCTCAAATTCGACTGCTTGCTCCATTCTTAGGAAGACTCGAAAACCACATCTTCTTTCCTGCATGTGCTAATTGTTTGGTTACTGCCGTTGATAGCACGACATTCTTGCACTGCAAGTGGGCTAAAGTCGGTGTGCATGAGGCGCTCACAGAAAAAACGATATTATAGATGGAATGTGATTATTACTGCAATACAATTTTTTAGCCACCTGCTATGTAGAAAGGAAAGGCAAAAGGTAAGTTGCTAGTGAATTGATCATTTTGACACAGTGAGTTGGAAGACATGCACCCTAATCTTCGCATTTCTTATAATAGAACACTGGTAATTTATTCATTCAAATACAACTAAATTAGCTTACTTTCCAGCATATGAAATGCAATATTGAAGTGCAACAGGGCCGGTTATTTAAACACATTAAAAATCTGTTTAAACGCATACAAAATGCGTTTCCATGCTTTTCGACAAAGGCGATTAAACGCGTTAGAACGTTGTTTTCTAAATTCACCTTAATCCCCCTTTTCCCAAATAGGGTCACATATTTAAACTGTTGTAGTTTGCATACTCAGATAAATGAACATGCATGAACGTGGAATATATGTGTGACATTGACCTGAAAATCTCCATGAAAATCTTGTTCCATTGCCCACCGACCTTTCCTTCCACCTAATCCTAAGATCCTAAAAGCTTTCCTAAAACTCTTCCCACCAAAATGAAGCCTACTAAATGCCCAGCAAGAGAAAAAAAAATGAGGCAAGAAAAGCGAAAAAAGAAGGGAGGAGAGAAAGCGAAAAGTAAAAGTCAAGACTGCTGTGTCACTTTTAAACCCAAATTTTGCTTTCTGCGCATGCCTGAACTTCGCAAGCTGATATTTTGCATCTGGAACAGAAGGCCGCGAAGTGTACGACCTGTAAACCGGTTTGTGGTAAGTTTTAGCGCTTTATAGCACGACAATGACCAGAAAACCACTTGACTAGCTTCAAAACGCGTTTTTCGGCAAAATCCCCAGGAGCGAATGGGTTAAAAACTAAAACTTAACAGAAAAAATGTACAAAGAAAATGAAAATATTGACGTGGAGATTCGAATGTACACCATGACTACCTCCTGTGCAAGAATACAGCTCCCGGAACACTAGGCCATGCTGGCACTGAATAATTAAACTGGTAAAATTATCACATTTCAAGCATTTCTCTCTGCCGTTCACACTGTTTGAAGCTTGTGGAGATGTATTTATCATGAAATCAAAGAGACATTTGAGGAAAATTAACTTAAACGAGTATTTCAAAGCCATTTTGCATTATTTTGGAGTTAATTCACCGAAGTGGGCTTAACCTCTGATTTATGTACAGAGCTGAGTTGAAAAGGGTTTCTAGAAACCTCAGACCTCAGACTCAGAAAACTCAGACCGAGAAAACTCAGGGCATTGTTGATGTGATCCATCGGTGACATTGATTGGCAGGGAAAGAACCAATTCATTGTGGGTTTGCCTCGGCGTATGATGAATAATTCAAAGGCACAGATTTCAGGGAAAAGCAAGGTTTTGACGGTAAAAATCTGGACTGAAATGCACTTCAGAAAAACAAACATGTCCTGTGACTAATCAAGCCGTAAGCTTAAAGTTGTCTGTCTATCGCGATTTTCAATCTTATTTCTCTGAATTAGCTACTGGTATACATTGCTTCAATGTTCTCTGTAAAATACTTTTGCTGTCAAAATTAATCAACAAAAGCATTCATAGCCAAAACGGCCACAAAAACAGTCAAAACAATGCCAACCAATGCTCCTTGATGTCACACTGGACGTCAGTATGGTACGC